GAGGGCCGCATGCCACCCCATAAGCCAGGGGAATGGGTGATTTGCCTGCAGAAGCCAGAAGAGGGCATTGGGTTTCCAGAACTGGAGTTTATAGACAGTCGGGAACTGAGTCGCATGTGTGCAGGGAATTGAACCCAGGTCCTATGGAAGAGAAAATAGTGTTCTTAACCACTACACTATTTCTTCAACCCTTTCATCATTCTTTGAAAGGAATTGTTCAAGTATATGGTATTGATTGTCACTTTCTCTTAGCCTAGAACATTTCATTCCCTAATTTTTAATGTGACAAAGTTTGCCATCATGTGGAAGAAATGTCCTTTTATAGGGAAAAGGACTATGAGTCTAAATAGGTGAGGGTGTTGATACAGGGTCTCTGTGTAGCCAGGGCTGGCCTAGAATTTACTAGGTAGACCGTGTTGACTTCAATCCACCTGCTTCAGTCCCAAGTACTGGAATTAAAGACTTGAACCACCGTGCCCTAAAAACTCAGCCAAGTGTAGTAGACAGATAAGTATGCAATCAACTTTAATAAAAGACTAAATGTTCTAAGCAGGTGTATTACTGTAAAAAGAATGTCAAGTGAAAACTAAAAAGTTCAGTCCATCTTGAGCTCTCTTCATAGGCACCAGAGAAGACTAGTTTATGTTGCTTTTGTAGCCTTTTGGAAGTATCATAATAGGGCTGAGAACTAAGTGTCATAAGGCCATAGATGGACTGAACACTAAGCTTCTTTGAGGTGTTGTAGGTTTAAAAACGGTATCTGAGCTGGGCTAAAAGGAGAGCCATAGGGATGGCATTAGCAAAGGCATTGCACATTGCAACGGCAGGCAAAGCCAGGCATGATGGTACACACCTTTAATCCCAGCACTAGGGAGGTGGAGGCAGAGGCAGGTGAATCTCTGTGAGTTCGAGGCCCACCTGGTCTACGTAGTGAGTCACAGGTTAGCTAAGGTTACCATAACGAGATCCCCCCCCCCCTCAAATGGGGGCTGGAGAAATGGCTCAAAGGTTAAGAGCACTGCCCTCTAGGACCTTTGTTCAATTCTTGGCATCTACATGACACCTAAGACTGCTCACAACTGTCTGCAACTCCTGTTACAGGAGATCCAAATCCACTTCTGCAGGCACCAAGGGTGTACATAAATCACAGACAGATGGACATCAGGCAAAAACATCTGTACACACAAATGTTTAAAAATTACATTTCTTTCTCTTTTTTTGGTTTTTCGAGACAGGGTTTCTCTGTATTGTTTTGGAGGCTGACCTGGAACTTGCTCTGTAGACCAGGCTGGCCTCGGCAGAGATCCGCTTGCCTCTGCCTCCCTAGTGCTGGGATTAAAGGCCTGTGCCACCAACTCCCGACTCAAAGCTTCCATTTCTTGTAGGACAGGGGATGCAGTGTGGGTGAGTGTATGTAGGGCAGCTGGAGATTAAGTTGAGGAGGTTGAATTGGGGTCATCTTTGGATAGTCTGTCTTAATATAGTGTTAAAGAATTAGCACTTGCTAGAAGACCTGGAACTTACTATGTAGACCAGCCTAAACTCAGATTCACACAGATTTTCCTGCCTCTGCTACCCAGGGGCTGAGATTAAAGGCATGTGCCAACATACTGGCTAGTATTTTTTTTAAAGATTTTTTTTTATTATATATAGTGTTCTGTCTGCATGTATGCCTACAGGCCAGAAGAGGGCACCAGATCTCACTGTGGATGGTTGCTTGGAATTGAACTCAGGACCTCTGGAAGAGCAGCCAGTGTTCTTAACCGCTGAGCCATCTCTCCAGCCCCCAGTATTTTATTTCTAATTATGTGTATATGTGTCAATTTGCATGTGGGTATGTCACATAAGCGTGGGTTCCCAAGGAGGCCAGAGGTGTCCAATGTCCTGAAGCTGGAGTTACAGTTATGAGGCACACGATATGGGTGCTGGCAATTGAATTTGAGCGCTTTAGAAGATGAGTATATACTTTTAACCACTGAGAACCAAGTTGGTATATTTTTGCTGGAAGCATGGGAGAGCCATTGAAGGCTGTGAGGGAATGGAGGGTCGTACTTTTATTTTAGAAAAGAGCATCCAAGGGACTCTGAGAAACCTATACCTATGTTCTTGGGTATGTCTTTCTGCTTAGCACCTCTTCTTTTTTTTAACCTACATACTTAAGCCTGTATTAAAATAGCTTTATTAGTCCCCACCCCCATCAAGAGAAAGGATTCAACAGCAACAGATGGAAGACAACAAGAATAAGGCTGGTGCAATGCCACAAAGACTACAAGAGGCAAAGGCTGGAAATGCGATAGTAGAGCATGTATGAGGAAGAACTGTGAATTGGGACCACTAACTAGTGGACACTGCAGTATTTCTTTGTGGTGGAAGTCCATGGAAGTCCTTGGCTGGTGACCCGGCCTCTGCAGCACCCCTCCCAGCTGTCCTTAGGCTGCCGCCCAGCCCAGTAGGATGTGCTCCACAAGGGCAGACTGGCTGTAATGTGAGCCCTGGGCCTGCAGAAACATTGGTGCTGCCGCTGCTGGAGGAAAAAAAAAAGTTGTCTCATGCATTCCAGAGCCAAAGAGAAATGCCTTTTGGATTACCCACAGTTTAGGCCTTTCTCCACAGCCCCACCTCTACTAGAGATCTAGGGAGACAAGCGAGCAGGAGTGAGATCAGGGTTGCCTGGAGTCAGGGTCAGGAACAAGTGGCCCAGTAGCTAGTAAATGGCAGGCCATGGGGTGGGTAGCAGGCTAAGCCACAGGGAAAACCCTAAGAGGCCTATTTTCCTCTGGCCTGCCCCTTGTGGAAGAGCTAGTGCATGGTCTGAGTACTCCGTGATGTTCAGTTAGAAGCTGGTGCAGGTGTTGTGTTGTCCCAGCCTCATCCCAGAAACTTGTGGAAGGTACAGCGAGTCTCAGTAAGAAGTCTGGGTCTGGGGATGGACTGTGGGGGTCACTTGGTCTCCTGGCCTTCTATAGTGCTTCTGGGGCCCTCACCGTTCCTCCTGAACCTGCTTCCCTAACTCCATCTTTGCTTTTCCAGACCCTGCAACTGGTTCCTCTTCACCGATGTCCTGAAGAGGCTGAAGCTCTCCTCAAGAATCTTTCAGGCCCGGTTCCCGCACCTTGAAATCACCACCCTGCCCAAGGCCGAGTTCTACCGGCAGGGGGGCCCCCGGCAGCGGGGGCCTCCCCCTGCCGAGAGGCCTGGGAGCTTGGAGGACAGATCTCCCCCAGGCTCTTCTGAGACTGTGGAGCTCGTGCAGTATGAGCCAGAGCTGCTTCGGCTCCTAGGGTCTGAGGTGGAATATCAGTCTTGGAGCAGTTGACAGAAACGGCCCCTCCCCCCGCCTCTCTCTCT